CAGGCCCAGCTGGACTCAGAGGCGGAGGCCATGCGAGTGTCCCACAGGGAGCTTCTGTCTGTGGAAGACACTGTCTACATGCCAGATAAGGACACAGAGCCTGTCAATCGCACGCTTATCCAGAAGGCTGGCTACCTCAACATTCGGAAGTAAGATTAATTACACTCATTATGGCCCTATCTGAAAATCTAAGGACACTTCCTACTTACTACCAAGTCAATATGTTAAAGGATGCCATGAAAGGAAACAAACTGAAGTGGCATTTCCAATTTTGTCAGGAAATTAAATGCAGTTCAGTAGATGGTGCCATTGATCCACAGTGGCTCCGGGAGATTTCAAATGCCTAAATTACCAAACACAACCAGGAAATGATTTTTTTGCTTCTCTCTCTCTCTCAGCAAATACATTTAAAAATAAGCCAAACACAGTAAACAGTAAGTCTGTCACAGCAGACAAGGTATGTCAGGTAACATGTTGACAGTGTGCGTTGTCAGCTTATACTAGACTAGATGTATGGCAAAGGAAACTTCCTTAATGGCTTCAAGGGATAAAACTGCTGCGTAGCTCGCATTGTGATTTAGTGAAATGTCAAAGCTGTCAAACTCTGTCTCTCCCTCATATACATCCAAAGTCTTTGACAAATGTCTGTGACACCGGAGAAAAGGTTTCCACAGAATGCCATTCTGTTTAATGACACACACTGCCAACAGCCTCAAACACTTGTCAAATAGAGCTGAGGCCAGAAAACATTTTCTGTTTCAAATGGTTTCTCAGTATTAAGGGTCTGAGTCACCCAGGGCAAAACCAGCCATACACTTAAGTATTTATCAAAGGACATTTATTTGGGAATATTTGTTGAACAGAGCGTACAAAATTGAAGGTTTACAGATGCGCAGTTGAAATGAGTCACGCATGTATAGATCAGAAATGGGGTGACTCAGAGTTGAGTTACATCCTAGCTTCGTTATAATTGCATATACAACATTAATAGCCAAAACAAATTTAGAGCCAAAATAAAACAACCCAAAAATTAAAAAAAAGAAGACAACTCAGGATCTACTTGTGGAATCAAATGATGAGCGGGGGAAAATTGTTGGTGTGAAAATGTTATTAAAATAGTTAATCATGGTTTCAACAATGGATGTGCAGTTCGTGTTTTAAATTCTCAATAAAAATTCTTCACATTACCGAAGACGAGACATTAAGTGCAAGCTAAAAAGATGACCTCTGTACAATTACCCGAACTCTAAGGAATATAGCAGACCACAGCAGATACGTGCAGTTTTGTTCTAATCAGTTATTGCTTTTAAGTGCTTTTTTTTTTTTTGGAGATGGATAAGAAGATTTCTGCCTATTAAAAACAAAAAATGTAAACAGTAAAAAGAAAAAAATACCAAAATGACAGGAAAATTGAGTTCTGTGAAACTTTCAGGTAACAGCATTCATGAATATATAATAATAATCAGTAATGAACATTATCCTGTTTGTATTACCACAGCAATATTCCATAAAATGAATGGATGAAGTATTTAAGTGTCTGTCATGTAGGAGATGTTATCTTTCTGTGAGCTTTGCAAAAATGTGTTTCACGAGTCATTATTAAAATGTGAGCTCAGGTGGGCTGTAAGCGACTCATAATTAAAGCTTTATCAACAGCTTTAAGCTGCACGGATTAAAAATTAAAACAAGGTGAATCTTTATTATTCAGAGAAGGTTACCCGCCTGTCAGATCTTAGCTCAAGTAATGCCAGGAATTAAGTAGTAGGTGCCCTGTTTGTGTGCTCATATATCTGGTTATTAAATATTACTAATGTTTCAATGCAGGAAATAGCACCAGCTAATAGATGAGCACACAGTGTCTTTTTTAAAATCAGAAATCTGTCATGTTTTCTAGTTTTCCAAAGGTATGCAAAATCACTATCCATCATGATGGCTTTTGAGCAGTGATTCTAATCATCGGGTGTGTTTTGAGGGCCCACTGTTTGTGCTGTATAATATGAGCTCGTGCAAGGCTTCTGTCTGGCTGCTGAATACACATCCTCCATTGTTTGTAAGTGGGGAAACTTGTCTGTAAACATCTATAGATCTGCTGCTACAAGCATAACATCTGTTTATTTCTTTCAGAGTAGACAACAGGCGATACAGACAACAACTACACGTATAGCATATTTATATTTATATATGCGGTGGTGCAAGATGTTGGAATAAAATATGGAATAAATAGGGGATGAATGGATAAAGTTAACCTACCGCTGCACGTGCATCTCAGTTATAATAACATTATGAATTGCAGACTAGTTTCAGTGTTCAATATATTTTCCAGGAGACGTTTTTACAGGACTAGTTCATCTATATGTGTTTTTAAAGCGGCTCATATAAATTTGTCCTGTGGAAAGTATTACTGTAGCCATACAACCACTGGGAGTTGTTGCACTGAATCATGTCTTGCCTTTGTCTTTGTACAGATGGGATAGAGGTCCTCTGGGGCCTATATGTTGACATATATCATTGAGTTGTGAAGGCTGTTTAATAACGAGCTGTGTTTGCTCTTTCATACAGATAAGTCTGACACACTAATTTTACTTCTAGAATGTAAGGTCACTAAAAAGACTAGGAGATCCCTCTGAGGCGCAGATTAAGAGACTAATCTCAGAGGTCACTGGGTCATTATGACCTTTGAGAAATTACCAGATGGAGACACCTGCTGTAAAGAAAAAATAAAAATCGTCCACTTTGTTGTTCAAATCACCTCGAAGCTAATTGCATACATGCATACAAATAGTATCCATTATCTTACTTTACACTTACGATCTGAATCTACATTTATGGCTTTGATTCAAACGCTGTTTCTTCTGTTTCTTCTTTTTCTTCCCCAGTAAAACAGGCCTAGTGACCACAGCCTGGGATCGTCTGTATTTCTTCACCCAGGGAGGGAATCTCATGTGCCAGCCACGGGGGGCTGTAGCAGGAGGCATGGTGCTGGACCTGGATAACAGCTCTGTCATGGCGGTGGATTGTGAGGACAGACGTTACTGTTTTCAGATAACTTCCCCTTCAGGAAAAACGTATGTGCTTTTTTTTTTTTTTTTAGTTTCTCCATGCTCAGCAGTGAGAATAATACATAAACATTGTGTCTCTGCAGGTCAATGATTCTACAAGCCGAGAGCAAAAGAGAGTATGAAGAAGTGAGTGAAGGGGCAGCTCAAACAGCTCCATTTGACCTTCGTTTTTGTTTTACATCCACTTCACGAAGCTATCCGCTGCTACGAGTATCTGTCATAGAACAATGGAGAGACTGTCAAGACTCATTTGTGTGTTTTCGTATTAAGTTTTGTGCTCGGACACAAGTGACTGGCCTGTCACAGCTGGTATCAGTCAAGGGATTTCACGCTGTGCCTGAGCTAGATGAAGCCTTAATGTAGTAATTTCTGTTTCTTTCTCAGTGGATTTGCACTGTGAACAACATCTCCAGACAGATCTACCTGACTGACAACCCAGAGGTAAAGATTTCATACTAACCAGCACAGATACACACTGTTTAAATTTAAAAAAATAAAAATAAGATAAAAGACGATTAACCAGTCATTTAAGGATAACATTTTAAGACATTAACACACATCCAGTTAACACATTAACTGGCGAATGTTTAATCTATTTAAGTAACATAACAAGTAATGATTAACAAACCTTTACTCTGTCACGCCCTCACAGTATCTCAGTTGTCTTTGCCTTGAGAGGTATTCAGTCCCAGAATCTTGTATATTTGCTTTGCAAATGTTTATTCTTCACATTCTCTAATAATGAAATAACTGCATCCAAAACTGCCCTCACTCTTATGCGCTTACTTTTCATCCGTGGTAATCGTTTGGGGGGTTTCACATAGATTTCAGACACCGTTAACAGGTGCGCTGTTATAGACCTGGAAATTATGGTTTTATCACCTCAAGAGCAAGATTTCAGGATTTCTAGTGAATAGCTGTTGGACTGAGTGAGGTTTTTTGTTTGTTTGTTTTTTCCGAGTTTGAGAATTTTTGAGTGGGCTGGATAGAATTACCAGAAGAGCCGGTAATGAAGTTTAGCGCGCCAGGCAGCAGATGGAGAATGATTTTCGACGCAGCTTCTCTTGTTTATCTAATTGTTAAAGTTGTGCAATTTGCCTCCGTTCTCTCTCCCAACTCAAGTGTTCGTGGAGAGCTGCGTGACCTCACCCTCATTTGTCTCGTCAGTGATGTGACTTTTGTTAATTGTTTGGTGGATTTTTCTTAATTAGAGTGAAACCTCTTAGTACAGTGAATAAACCTGCTCTCCAGTATATCATTTACGTAAAACATTCTCGACAGAATTTGGTCAGGTTTTCTTTTCAGATTTACTAAAGCAGGATTTCTAATTATTATTCAGTGATTGGTTTCTTTTTCCAGTTAGCATTCCACATTACTGTAAATAATTACATCCCTCAAATCCTATACGTAATTATATATGAACTAAACAACAAATAGAAACCATCTGCTGTTTTTTAGGGATGCCACTAAATAAACTGCTTATGGTACACAGAGCAAACATGAGGTTGAGAAAATACACTGAAGACAATGAAACAAGTACTTGGAAAGTTCTTGTTTTTAGGATCATTTATATTCCCTAAATGACTCAAACTACGAGTATGTGAGATACTGAAAAGTCCCTGATTTCTTTGATATTAGGCTGTGGCTATCCGACTGAACCAAACCGCCATCCAGGCAGTGACTCCCATCACCAGCTTTGAGAAGAGACAAGACGGCTCACCCAACCCCGACAGGTCAGGCATGTAGCTTATGTGAGAGTGTGTTCAGAATCCTACATTCAGTACTGCATAACAATCCAAAGCTTGTAATGTAATGTTTCGTGTCATGGTGAAAAGACAAACAAACAAACAAACATCCAGTTTTCTTAGTTCTGTGCTACAAAAGCTCCTGCAAATGAAGTCGGGTAACGTTAAAAAATAAAAAAGTGCCACTGAGCTTTGGAAATGTGGCCAAAGCCAAACATCTTATGCATCCCTGTAAATACCCTTTGTTGAACAGGGTTCTTTCCCTCAGATTAAGCTTTGTGTTTTCTTTTAAACGGAGGAGGGTGGGTTTTGTTTGCTGTAATCTTTCCTTCTGTTCATGTTTTTAAAGCAAGTTTAAGAATTGGTGGAAGACCAGAAATACACTTTGAAGTCTGCCTTAAGTAGTTATCTTTCATTGTTAGGATTTCCAGTGTGAAATCCTCTCTTGAGGATTGTAGATTTTTGCCCCCTCACTGACACTCCATGAATCATTTCACGGCTGCTGCTGACTGAAGTATTAGGTTCACATTTTTCCAATCTGTCTTATCCTTTATTGGTGGGGGTGGGTGGGTGTGTTCTTGGTTTATTCATTAGAACTCATCTTTATTTTGTCTCATTTCTGCAGAGCTAAGCCAGGAGGTGTTCATACTACCAGCAGTGGTTCTCAGAAAACAGGAGTTGCCCCAGAACCAGAGGACCTAATAGCCCCGGGGACGCCCATTCAGTTTGACATCATGCTGCCTGCGTCCGAATTTCAGGACCAGAACAGAACTGGGGGGAGGTGAGAGCCCAGCTGAGACAGGAAGTTTGTGTGGGTGCTTGTTTGTGTTTTTGCAAAAGACAGGGGCGAGTTACTGGTGGGCGATGACACTAATTTCCTAAATGTTGGTCTCATTGTGGTTCTCACGTCATTTCCAGGAAGCAAATAGCTTCGTAATTGTGTAGCGCAGTGCTTTAATTGTTTTTTTCTTGCTGGTGTTTGCTCCCATCCCGACAGACGCACAAACCCATTTGGAGAAACAGAAGACGACTGTTCGACAGATACTGATGGTAACAATTTCCTGTTCTAAGTGCACTTTAATAGTCCACTCTCTTTTAAGTACTTTTTAAGTTCACCTTAACCTCAGTGTGTGGTTGTCATCGGTCAACTTCTTTGTTCACTGTCCTTGTGCTTTTATTCTGCTGACATATTTAGCTTGCGCATGATGTTTGTCTGTCTCTGCAGACTCCCTGCTTCAGCAGGTATTCGCTGTGCGCTTCCTGGGCTCCATGGCGGTTCGCTGCGGCGACAATCAGGAAGTGATCTACGAGGCCATGAGGCAGGTGCTGGCTGCCCGAGCCATTCACAACATCTTCAGGACCACAGAGGCCCACCTCATGGTCACCAGCAGTAGCCTCAGGTAGACTTTCAGCACAATTTTAATAAGTTTTACATCAATATGAACCTGCTGGAGACAGATATGGGGACTTGTTTTGAGGCACTTAGAAATATCTCGTTGATATAGAAACAAAGTTCTTTTCAGTGGTGCAGGTACATGTGCAAAAAGGTCAAAAAAAAAAATTCATAGTGTTTTTCTTTCAACTCATGGTTACCTTCATTCTTCCAATAGTTTCATTTTTATTTTATAAAATAAAATAATACTTTAATTTTAGTTTTTATTACACCTCAGCTGCAAAAGGTTGAAAATGTATTGTTGTTAATCTGCTGTGTGGGCAGCCAGACGGGCAGTGTGGACACCCAATTTTGTGAACACGAAAAGTCAAGAGCGCAACGATGTAGGATTGTCAAGTTGATAGTAAAAATCCATTTCAAATCGCAGGTCAGGTTTTCTGAAAATCTTGTAAACACATAAAACAGAAAGATGCGACCTTGGTCTGTGCATCTACTGGGAGGCTGAGGCTAAGCTGAGACGCTGGCGGTTGTCAGTGTTTTTTATATTTACATTTACTGCATTAAAGCCTGAGTGACATAGTCTGGTTTGGACCTTGATCACAGCTACGTCTGTTTCCTGTAGCCAAGCACGCCATGCAAAGCACTTATGGAGAACTTGAAGTTCGTTCATCTTGTGTACGCAAATCCAAGTTGTCTGTAGCACCAAGGCAGCACAAGTCATTTGCATAACTTTAAATGTATTGAAGTTAAGTGAGAGCCATTGAAAAATAACAAACAAACAAAAGAATGTCAAGATGCCACTGGAACACAATCTTAAAGTTGGCAAGTTGCCGTAGGTCATTGCCTGAGGTAAACGACAAAAAGAAGCTTGAAGCAGGAACCCTGTGAAGCATGAATATTGGCAGCAAAGAACAAACTTTGTGATGTTGAATTGCTACGTAACCCACGGTTTCTTTTTTTAACACTCTCAGAATAGAAATCCTGAGTATGACTTCAGTGTTTTTGTGGTTTGTTTTGTTTTCCTGAACAGGTTGATAGACCCACAGACTCAAGTTACAAGACTAAGTGTAAGTATCACAACAGGTATCACAGCTGCTCTTTTATTGAGCTCTGTCAGGTTTTCTGTATTTGAACTTCTTTAAAAGACACTTCTCAGTTTTTATTTTATTTATTCTCAGTTCCAGCTTGGAGAAGTGTGTCAATTCGCAGCCCACCAGGAGAATGGGAGGCTGATGGGATTTGTGGTTGAAAGCAGAGACTGGAGCAATGGAGACGAGGAGGGAGAACCATCGTTTAGCGCCTTCGTCTTTGAGAGCAACACGGAGGGCGAAAAGGTTCACAACCCAGAATCAACAACTCGGTTTCAAGTAGAAGAACATGTTAAATGTAATATAATATCAACACACTATATGTGATTGTCTATTCACAGATATGTTACACCATAAACCTGGCAAAGGAGATTACAGAAGCTAAGAAGGTAACGTCTTAAAAAATGTAAAACTTTAGATCTTTTTGCTTTGAGCTTTAAAAACAACCAATATATGTTTTGATTAAGATTCTTTTTTCTTGCTATCAAACATCAAACCATGATCCTGAGTAACTGTAGCCAACAAAGCTGATGAAAGTTGGGGGAAAAAATGGTATAAAATAAATTAAGGATATTGTTCCTCAGCAAATCTGTTTAACATTTTTAAGGACCCGGAAGCTCTGGCCCAGCTAATGAAGAACATGCCTCTAACCAATGATGGCAAGTTCCTGCTGCTTGAGCCTGAGACGGGTGACACGACCGAAGGAGCAGGACAAGAAGATCTGGAGTCTGAAGCCTAGTTCCAGTTAGATTATTCTCCCACCTAACCACCCCCAAAAAAGATGAGCCAGTCAAAACCAGGGCCACAGTTCTGCTTTTGCCCCAGAGGTTTCATTCTGATGCCCAGCCCTAACTCTGGTACTGTGACATCAATATTAGAAAGGCCACATCCACCAACCCTCAGTAACTACATCTCTCTCTCTCTCTCTCTCTTTTGCTGTGCTAAAATCTTAAGATGTTGACATGGGTTTGACCCCACACACACACACACACACACACACACACACACACACACACACATTAAAAAGAAAAATTGAAAAAAGAACTTATTTTCGCCCGTGCTCAGACTGCAACATGAGTCTTTGCATGTGGAGTTTGTCTTTGCACCACTGTAGGTGGTGCGCACATCAAAAGGGACACCACATAGATACTGGATGCGTTTTCATCGTCTCCTAAAATCCCGAGCCATTTAACAGAGTGGTGACTCATTTTCTTTCAGTTTAGGTTTACATTTATTTTTAGGTTTACATAGTTTGAAGTGGTTTTTTGTGTTTGGAGAATTTAATCCCTTTACCTTACTTTGCTTGTTAACACGTATGTGAGGCTCTTACGCAAATACTTTGGCATTCATTCCTTGATTATTTATGAAAGAAAACGTTACTGCACTTTGAGGTTTGTGTTTGTGTAACACCATCAAATTACCACAGAATGTAATAATTGATAGGATTGGAGACTTTTATGATAGTGTAGGATAGTTGAAATGACATCAGCTCCTTTTATCCTTAGAGCAGCCACTCTTGCCTAGTTTAATATTTTTATCCTTTTAGCCTCGTAATGTGTGTCTCAAAGCAGGGTACACACTTGGCAAAACATTTTCTTCTCGGCTCTCTTGCCACTGTGAAGTTAGACTTGGCACCCTGGCTATCTTAAGCCTTCCCACTAAACTGAATTACTTTTATGCTCGACATTTTCCTCGGCTACCTATGTAAACAAGTTCTAAGATGATTTGTATGTCAGCGGGAAACGGCCCAGAAACGACTTCACGCTCGTTTCCCCAAAAGCCCGTGTAAATATGATCTGTCTATGTATGTTTAACCAGAGTCAATATGCTAGGATCTATTGCAGTGCATGATTAAATAATGGCATTCAATCTAGTTCCCTCTGCAGAAGATTAAAGCTTATACTATGAGCACTGAGCCGTAACGCTAAAAGAGAATCAACTCAACTGTCACAGTCCACAGTGCACTTGTGTGTGGGGGGGAAAGCAATTTGCTCTTCTTTACATATGAATGCTAATCAGAGCAGAACAACTAATGGTAACGCAACCTGTGAAATTCATCGCCCCCTCTGGATGCCGCCGCAGTTTTGTTCATTTTCAGTCCGTTTGAGCTGCGACACAAATCTTGATGGACAGCGGCAGCCTATGCAGTGTCAGTGTGTGACCGTGTTTAGAAAAGGTGAAAAGAAACTGGCTGGAAGTAGAACTTGAAAGTTGCAGCGTGGTGACCAGTGCAGTCAGTTTGTGCCAGAATCGCCGTGCCAGAAGCAGAAACATGTCACACATTTTATTTAGAACTTGGAGCTGCACTAACAAAAATTGTTCGACTGCTCATCACCCTACGCATCGGAATTACAAGTTTGATTTGCAAAGAGAATTTCTTTTTGTTTTCTTAGAGGAAGTTTAAAAAAAGACCATCCTGGTTTACTTAACCGACAAGGTAGATCTTGTTTGTATACAAAAATCAACACCCATGTAGCAGATGGTAATTGACAGACTAATGCTTCCTTTCATTCAGGTCAGAAATCTCTAAATTGAACATTTTAAACTCGAGCTGGCGACGTTCCACACTGATGTCAGGCGTAAATACTCAGCTTCTTACAGCAGGCAGCATTTTAATATTTATGTCATGGATACATTCGAGAAGAGGAAGATATAAAAAGTCTGTTAAGAACATTATATACAAACTAGTGTCCAATCAAGTACATGTTTAAGATGGCTTATGACACTTCCTAACCCAGGCAACGTGTAAATAGGACCAAAGGCAGATTAGAGCTTCCCAGCTTCCAGGATCTATACCCCGCCCCTGTTATCTCATAATCATGAGATTCTCTCATAATTTAACCCCATCTCAATAAAAGTGGGCTGCACCAAACAAAAATGTTAATTGGGTTAAATATACCAACCAAATGAAGAAGTGCATGTTTGGATTCACTGGGAGAGAGCTAATTGATTAGTTGGTGTGGATGTTTATGGCATGTATTGATTCAGGCAGTAAACGGGTGATGAGGATTACAGATCACCTGTCAGAAATGTGCAGTAGTCAGAAGCACATTCAAGCTCACCAGAGCATTAGAAGAGCGAGTCTCGCACTTCCAAGGGAACAACTGCTATCTGGGCAATTTGTCAGAATAGCTTTTTTTTTTTTCCCTTTTTCTTTTAATGGCTGAGTTCCCAGAGTTGACTCATGAACTCGTGGTGCCGCTTGTAGCCAGAAGAATACACACGTAAACACAGACTCTGTTCCAGGAAACCAAGCACATTTCCCTAAACGTCGACTAACTTTGTGGCCTGATTGGAAACTCCAAACTGGCAGGCTGTTTGATGCGGCATAGATAAAGCAGTTTATCCAATATCCTCCTTTCTCAGGGGACGGCAGAGGCACTTTAATTACACCTTTACTAAAATTGTGCTTAGTGCAGTGGCCAACAGTGAGTAGTTTGGGGTTTGATGATTCACATATAAGCGGGTGCCTGTGCTTTTGCTGAGCAGTGGCTTAATTGGTGAGATTTGCTCTAAATGCTTCTACCCAGTCACAAAAAGAAATCTTAGTGTATAGAGGCTGATGCAGCCCATTACGCTCATTACAGCTGTGCTGCATAGTCTTGACATATTCTCTTGTAAGTAATGCACAGTCAGTAAAAATGTGGGTTATGAAGTTGTAGAAAATAAATTTCTGTAATATAGCAAGGACGGCATTTTCTCCCTTTTTCCTGTCTTTTTGTAAAAGGCTGAAGTTGCCACTACCCGTACAGCTTTGCACTTAATTTGTCCTAATTTTCTAGAACTGTGTAAACATGCATCCTTTAATAAACATGAGTCATTTTTCTTACTTGTGTAAATGTTGTATTTTCTTTATCCCACAAAAGAACTTTAAAAGTATAACACAGAGACACACACATCCAGAGAATAGAGATTTTATTTAGAAAAGCATCTGCTGTAGCATGTACATTTACCTGACACTTAGTTTTTAAAAATATACACAGCTGTGTGCACACCTCAGCAAGTGATGTATTACAATAGTGTCATCTCAGTCTCGCTCACACACTCTCTCTCTCTTTCTCACACACACACGCAGGCAGGCAGCACAGATTTATTCAAAAGCTGTTTAATTATTCAAGTACACATTAAATTCTGCACACTGATTCAGGACGAATGCCTAAAAACTTTTGAGTGTCACAGCTATGTCCTATAATATACTGCAGGCAGCATTTAAAGGTATTTTGGTCATGAAATGAAGGTTTAAAAAAAATAATTACAGACATATTAAACCCACTTTTTAGAAGAAAGGATTCCTTTAAGATCATGAGTCTTTGTAGTAGTTGTTGAAGTTGATGCGAAGCAGGAAATCTTCTAAATGTGGTTGATAGCCTCTGTTCACCAGCTTGGTCACCACTGAGAGAAGAAAGGAAGAGACATTTTTTAATGCTTTACACTCAATGAAACCAGTTTTTCAGCAAAGTCAAAAATACTAAGACTGCACAGACTAACTTATTTATTGATGCCTCACGTGAACCCCTAACAAACCTCTTTGAGCTTAGAAGGAAGATAAACAAGCTGAACTTTCATTCATACAGACAAAACAACATTCCCTGGCCTTACCTTTGAAAAGAAAGTGAGAGTAATACTTGAAGGTATTGTACGACTGCTGCATGGCAATGAAGCTTGGGTGCACTGCCTCCCCCTGCTGTTTGTCCCAGGGCTGTGCAATTAGCTGGGCCCGAAACTTGAGGATCAGGCTGAAGATGCTGTGGATGATGTTCATGACCGGAGCTGCTTTCTCCGTCAGCAAACCCCTGGAGAGGCGACGAGTGCAAAGTTTAAGAGACATGACAAGAAACTTCGGAATGACTTTCAGACGGGCTGAAGTTCGACAAATACGAGTGTGATACTGACAACCTCTCCTAATGAGATTAAATCTTTCATGGAGTTCATGAGTTAGCCTCAGATTCAGCTGGAATTTTAATTAACTTGTTACGTGGAGGTTTAATTAATTTTAGATGAAATTATGGGAGCTAAATGCTACTTTGACATGCTTTGCCCGTACAGAGCCTCAAGAAATGTTGTTAACCTGCTAAACTGCAGCTGTGATCACTCAAAAGGCTGATTTTTGTTGTTGAAAAATGTATTTCATTCAGAATTTTTGATCTTGTTTTAAGTTATTTCTTGACCTCTTAAAATAAATTTGCCCAAAAACTAGTACCTAATCTGTGCATAGTCAACAGAAAAATCAAACGGCAATAATTACTTAAGCGGCATTTCCCCATTTGCAGTTCCAGCACTCACCTGAAGATGGCTCTGTTGAGGTAGTCTGCATGTGTACGGTGGATGGCATCTAGGTCGTTGGCAGTGGCCAATTTGGCTGTGAACTCACTCCAGGACACTTGCAGGATTTGATTAGCGATGTATCCCTGTATCACCTTGACAAAATGCTGCATCTCGTGTCTGTACAGCTGCAGCTGATGGAACTGCACCGAGCGACCTGCGCCTTTCACCAGCGCTGAGAGACACAAAGGCCATCAGAACAAGTTATGCTCAGTGCTGCAAGGACCTAGAACATAAACATCTGCTGGTTACAGATTCTGACACGCAAGGATTTGTGGCTGGTATCAAATCAATGTAATAATCAAAGCCTCCAGGCTCTCTGTATTCTCTTAGTGTAACAAAAGGCTATTACAGCTAACTTTGGGCTCTGGGAACTTGTAGCAGTCATCTTTTTTTGTTGTTTTGTTTTGACTTTTTGACAAAAAGTCAATATATATAAATCATTACAGAAAATAACTGATAGCTGAAACTACATTTATGAAACAGACTTTGGTGGATTGTATTTCCTGCATGTGGGACATTCATCCAGTTTACAGATGAAAACTACTAAAGGATCTGCCTGAGTCATAATATTATTTCTGTATTATTAATATTAATTCATTTAGGGTTTTTTTTTTTAATCCTATCAGGACCTCCATTTATGTAGTCTACACCGACTTTAACTGATCAATATCACCTAACCCAGGGATGCATACGGTTTTACAACAATCCCACAGGTCTGAGGTTTGCTTTGTATAAATAAAAAAAATAATCTCAACATTCTCTTCCATGTATATTTTATAAACCACTGCAGCACAACAGGGGAGATTCTGAACTCTTGCTTCTCAGAGGTAACCTGGAGTTCAAGCTGGGTTCTGAATCAGCAGCTCCGTCCTCTCACCTGTTCTCTTGAGGTGAAACCAGACATCACGGAGGCTCCACACCATGTGTTTGAGCTGCAGCAGGAACGAAAACAGGCGGTTGTACTTGTTCATGCAGCTGTCTGTGATGATGATATTCAACGGCCAGTCGACCTGGGAGATGTTGCGAGAAAAAAAAGAAGAAAAAAATGTAACTGCTGTAAGGAAGAACGGCACGTGGAGCTTTGAGTGTGAAGGAAAAAGGAGCTGAGAAAAACAGGTAAAGAGAGAGTGATGGATGATGTGGGGGAGGAGAGGAAAAAGGTGTGAGTGCAGAGACGTTGACAGAGGAGGTGAGAGGATTGTGAAGTTAAGCCAGAGTGGTGAGAGAGAGGAGTTAGAGGTAGAAGAAAAATTGGGTGGAGAAATGTGGGGAAACAAAGCGAGAAGGACGAGGAGGGGAAGTGGGCCAGGACAGTTAAGACTGAGATCCACCAAAAACAGGAAGAGTCTCAGAGCCAAAGGAGGGAACGAACACTCAGGGCAATATGTGCAGCATTAGTCATTGTGCATGTCACCTAAAAGACGCGACTCCAATCGATCTATGAAGTTGAACCATTTAAGTGTGTGATAAGCTCATTTTCCACACCCAAAGCAGTTTGTCAAAACATGACAGGCTGTCACAGTCAAGCTGCCACTCAGGCTGAGACAAGCACACCCATGCAAGGGTACTCGCTCATTTACCCCATTAAAACACTCAGCCTCACCTTGTAGCGCAGCTCCAAGCAGTTAAGAGAGTCCGGGGCATGTGGGTGGAAGGTCTCGGGGAGGAAGCGAAGTGCGAAGGTGAAGTTTCCAGCCAAAGGCGTGTCCCCGTGTAAGCTGTACTGCAGGGCCTTGCTGAGGATGGAATTCAGGACTAAGGGAGTTAGGAGCTCGCCTGGGGTTTGGCCACTGGCCAGCTGGGTGGGAGATGGGGGAAAGAAAAAAAAAAAAAGAAATGTGTTGTTGGGGCGCATGTTCATATTTAGAAAGAGCTGATTGACTCATTTAGGGTAAAAAGGAGTGATAATAAGTGAAATCTGCATTTAAGCTGGATAAACAAAACCTTCTGTCTCGTGAGCGTCAAGAGACAGGTGTACCTGATCATTTCATCAGAAAGGCAAGAAGGTGTTAGCAAAGGCTGTGCTTGTTAATTCCTGGCAGGAAGAGGTCTAGAAATATCACACTGATGCTTCGTGTGCTTCAAAACAAGCAAACAGGGATGGAATTGGATATAAATTGCTTACAAGGTTAAAAGTTAAACCTGCTTCTCTTTATGAACGAGCCCTAAAAGCTCTAAACAGAAAAGCACAACAGCATCACCGCTGTGATATTCTTGAGATTTATAAAAAATATTAAATATTTTGCAAACCTAATTTTGTATTCAAATGTTTGAAAATGGTTCGCAGTACTGCACGGCCACCTTTATAAAGATTTGTACAACTTTGCTCACAGCAGATGAGCAGAACTTCAGCATTAGTGTTCAAGGTAAATCCTAATAGACGCTCCACTTTTGTGCACAATCGTCTTTTTTCATTTAAGTCCATTAAAGATCTTAACAACCTCCCGACCAATTTGAAAAATGTAGGTTTTTAATATCTCTTCTCGTCATCCAAAAAACTGTCCACACGAATCACCGAGCGCTCATCTTTTTAAAACCTTTTACAGCTTTTTCAGCCACGTAACTACTGATAGCATAGTCTGGCTTTAAATGTAAAGTGGACATGAAGATTTTATAATGCGTATGTGTTTTGTTGGTGGTGTGGTGCTGGACAGTTTTTAAGATTTCATGAATATAATATTATTTTGTTGTGCTTTTATTTAGCGTTTATAGTTTATTTGTTATTGTGTCCACCTGTCCAGAGACTGCAGATGAACAAACACCAACTCCTAAAAAGAAATCTGGCTCTTTAACTGCTAAATACTCCAATAAATGTACTATCCACTTGCTATGTTAGCGTGCAGTTAGCAAACAGTGGTATTTTAGACATTTTTAAAATAGAAAAAGCTCCCTCCAACCCCCATATATACATGTAGTCACCAAGTCTATTACTAATATCAAAATATTGATCTGATGCAGCTTTTGGAAATTGGGTTATTGCAATTTACAGGAGCGATGTTGTGAGATTATATGTGACAGAACCACAGTGCACACACAGGCTCTAGGGTACTAAATCACATTTGCAGGAGGACATACGAACCCTTAGAAACTGACCCTCTGGGTAATGAGGCAAGAAACGACTGCTATCTAACTGTGGCGTATACATTCTAAAACTGTGGCTGTTTAGAGTTATAAATGACCGGGGAATTTTCAAGGTTACCCGTGCCTGCTTTTTACAAGCAGACAACATTTAATACATGCAGCATAAATAAAACAAAATAAAAATAAAAATTCCCAAATGGAGACCGGGCATTTGACCTTGCTCTGAGATTCTCTTTCCTGTCCGCTGCTAGAATTCAACACCAGAGAGAAAGAGACAACCAGCCCATTTCAAATAAAGACAACAAAAAGATATGAAGCACAAAAGAGCGTCACCTTCTCAAACAGCAGATCGCTGAGGGACTGCGCAAATTCGCCGTCCTCCATCAGCAGGAAGTGGCGCAGCGCCTCGAAGTGTCTTTCCAC